TTTAAATTTTTTTTATAAGTAGAAAGTTTTTTCTTATTTTTTTTTGTTTTTTTTTTTTTTTTTTCTCAAAACTTTACATAATTTGGTTGCTTACCAAAAAAAAATAGAAAACATATAAAGACATTTTTTAAAATCAGATTAATTAATTTAAATATAAACCGAGGACTGAAAAATTTCTAGTTTTTAAAAAAAAATAATTTGTAGTGCTTTCAAGACTTCTCCATCACTTTAAATATCAAAGCCATCTGCTGGGTATGAAGATCTTGACCATTCTTATCTGTGTTTATGGTAAGCTTTTTGATTCCTTCGTTATTTATATTTAGAATATAAACACATGATTTATTACGGTGGTCATCAACATGTTTTGAGTGATCAGGCAAATTGATTATTTTTTTATGTAGGGTAATGAAAAGTACACATTATTATAGAATGTAAGTTTGGAATAATAAATAGGTTAGTTTCAAAAGACTGGGTCTAAAATATATAAAACTATTTTAACTACACATAAATAAAAGATGTCTCACTATACATAAATAAAACATGTCTCACTACACATAAATAAAAGATGTCTCACTACACATAAATAAAACATGTCTCACTATACATAAATAAAACATGTCTAACTACACATAAATAAAACATGTCTCACTACACATCAATGAAACATGTCTAACTACACATAAATGAAACATTATGCCTAACTACACATAAATACAAGATGTTTAACTACACATAAATAAAACAAGTCTAACTACACATAAATAAAAAAGTCTAACATCACATAAATAACACATGTCTAACTACACATAAATAACACATGTCTAACTACACATAAATAACACATGTCTAACTACACATAAATAACACATGTCTAACTACACATAAATAACACATGTCTAACTACAACTGGTTGTTGTTCATTCAAATGTCTGCCTTCCCCTAGAGATCATATCAAATAAAATAGAAGGCCTGGTTGTTGTTCATTCAAATGTCTGCCTTCCCCTAGAGATCATATCAAATAAAATAGAAGGCCTGGTTGTTGTTCATTCAAATGTCTACCTTCCCCTAGAGATCATATCAAATAAAATAGAAGGCCTGCTTGTTGTTCATTCAAATGGCTGCCTTCCCCTAGAGATCATATCAAATAAAATAGAAGGTCTGGTTGTTGTTCATTCAAATGTCTGCCTTCCCCTAGAGATCATATCAAATAAAATAGAAGGCCTGGTTGTTGTTCATTCAAATGTCTGCCTTCCCCTAGAGATCATATCAAATAAAATAGAAGGTCTGGTTGTTGTTCATTCAAATGTCTGCCTTCCCCTAGAGATCATATCAAATAAAATAGAAGGTCTGGTTGTTGTTCATTCAAATGTCTGCCTTCCCCTAGAGATCATATCAAATAAAATAGAAGGCCTGGTTGTTGTTCATTCAAATGTCTGCCTTCCCCTAGAGATCATATCAAATAAAATAGAAGGTCTGGTTGTTGTTCATTCAAATGTCTGCCTTCCCCTAGAGATCATATCAAATAAAATAGAAGGCCTGGTTGTTGTTCATTCAAATGTCTGCCTTCCCCTAGAGATCATATCAAATAAAATAGAAGGCCTGGTTGTTGTTCATTCAAATGTCTGCCTTCCCCTAGAGATCATATCAAATAAAATAGAAGGCCTGGTTGTTGTTCATTCAAATGTCTGCCTTCCCCTAGAGATCATATCAAATTAAATGGAAGGCCTGGTTGTTGTTCATTCAAATGTCTGCGTGTGCATCATTGGCATTAGCAATAAAGAATACTATCATATCACACGTGACGTGTGTTTGTTAGATGTGTATTCTTCGTGTGCTATTTTTTTTCCTGATTAAGGGGCGGCAAAAATCAATGATTACCTCCGCCATAGAACATACATAATCCTAATACGTATGTAGAAAAAATTTAAACATATTTAATCATAGTACTGACGGAGCAGAAACAAACACAATCATAGCACTGACGGAGCAGAAACAAACACAATCATAGCACTGACGGAGCAGACACAAACACAATCATAGCACTGACGGAGCAGAAACAAACACAATCATAGCACTGACGGAGCAGAAACAAACACAATCATAGCACTGACGGAGCAGAAACAAACACAATCATAGCACTGACGGAGCAGACACAAACACAATCATAGCACTGACGGAGCAGA